CGTAGCTGATCACGTCGATCTGTCGCCAATTGGAATGGACCCAATCACCATGACGAAGAGTGAAATCGCCTTTTTGATCTTTATCACCAAACGGTACCTGGAAAAAAAAAATATGAATCAAATCAAATGAATTGTAATACTAGTGGTGAATGGCATCGTGCCTTAAGGCAAATTGCAGGAACTTTCCGTACCGAAAACTAAATTATTAAAAAAGAAACTTTCCAAAAACTTGAAAAAATTAGATTTTTGAGAAATTTTGAAATTTTTGAAAAAAATTGACTTTTTTTGAAAAATATGATTTTTTTATATTTTGTTGTTTTCGTATTCTGATTTTTTTTGTATCAATTTCAACGTTTTTTTAAGCAATCGCGCTGCATGGCTGATTTGAAGTCGAAATGACAAAGCGCGTAAACGCCGCGTAGTCGCCTAGCGTGTGAACACTAGTACGGAATCCATATATATGCACACAAAAATGGTACTTATTATTATAATTTTTATAAAATTCGTGATAATACGATGTACATATGTCTAATGTTCATTTTTGACTCCCAAATAGCATTATTTTTTAACTTTCCGTAGGGTAAGTAATAGTAATCGCAAAAGAAATCGAAAATGAAATTTTTTATATATCTTTACGTTTCAGAGGTTTTTGAACATTTTGGCATACCTTAGAAAAAATGGGTGTATACGTGTGTGTGTGTGTGTGCGGTTACAAATTTTCGTCGACAATTTGGAGAACACGTTTCAACCGATTTTAATAATTCAACATTTTACTTGTATTGACAAGATGAACAACTGATTAAATTTTCATGAAGGCGGGTCTAGCGGTTCCGGAGATCTAGTGAAAAAAGTAAAAAAATGCCATTTGGCGGTCAAAAATGATCCTTAGATATGTGCACATAAAATTATCAGATATTTTATAGAGATTTTAACAATAAGTATAAATTTTGCTTACATTCCTATGGGCTCCGTACCAATGTTTATCCGTTAGACGGCGTCGCGGCGCTTACGCGCTTCGATATTTCGTCTGTATGCAGTTAAAGCAGTACGATTGCTTCGAAGAAAAGTTCAGAACTTCCAAAATATTTCAAAATAAAGAAAACATTTTTTTTCAAGAAGCCTTTTTTCAAAAATTTATAGTTTCTCAAAAATCTAATTTTTTCAAAGTAATTTTTTTTCAAAAATGTTAATATTTTTAAAAAAAAATGCACAGCTGTAAATATGATATAGAACAATTACCTCTACTTCAGAATGATCAGGAGCCCTGTATCTGATCCGGCCTGGTAAAGGATCACTCTGATGTCTCTGCCCTGTGCCCCGATCTAATGGTTTTAAAACTTGGCCCTTTGTGATATCTGGATCTACATCTTCAAACACAACTGTTCCTGGTGGTAGCCGAACAATATTGCATGCAACTTCTTTACCCTAAAACAGAAATAATAATAACAGATATAAACTACATACATATTTCTTTTCTTCCAGCTATTTCTTTAAACTTACATTTCTTGTTAAAATGATAAATTCAACATCATCTCCAGGCCTAAGTTCCTCTGATGTTTTGGCTTCAGAAAAGTGGAAAAATATTTCTTTGACTACATCTGCTCGTTCAATGAAACCAAATGACTCTTTCATAGAACACACTACACCCCTGTACAAAACTGGATGAGCCGGGTTCTCTAACCGGACGTGGCAAGCACCCAAATTACCACTGTAAAAGATAATAGTAGGTGTTAAAAAAATTAAAAGAAAAAATATAGATGACTAAATGTAGACCGATTTTGCTGCATAACAAACCAATGTTATGGCAAGGCTATGTTATGAAGAACTACTTTCCATACTAATTCGTTCTAAATATTGTCAAAAGCCATGTGGTTGCTGAGCAGTCAGGCGTTTTTCTCCGGTTGTCAGATAGAAAATTTAACTTAGAAACCGCACAAATGTCACTAAAACGATCTTAGATAACAAGGTGTTTCTGACTCAGCTTCATAACATACAAGTGACGTTGCAGTTATTATGTAAAGCGCCTGAATGCATAGCAAATACATGAATTTTTGACAGTATTCAATATATGATTCAATAGCATAATTAATGTATGCAAGTTGGAGCGTAACATGGCCTTGCCATAACATCTGTGTATTGTGAGGCTGAATCGGCCCATAAATTAATAGTTATCTTCAAAAATTAAGAACTTTTTGTCCTTAATTATTTATCCAGTTGTAGATTTCTTTTTCACCAATTTAACATCTGTGCAAGACAGAATTCAAAATAAATATTGCAAATATCTATTGCTCTCAAACATATTTATGTTCATGTTGATAATAAAACCGTAACCAATAAAATAAATATTTCAGGCTCTTATCAAAAAAAAATTTGTTAATCAAATATAATATAAGAAGAACGTATATATAATGATAAAGTATGATTTATTCTAAACTTGATATCTCTATTAACATACCGTTGATTTGTTGCGATCTGAAACGAAACCTTGTCTCCACTTCGTAGAGTGACATTGCCCTCAACATCGTCCTTGGTATAAGGCAAGAAAAAGCATTCGCCCCTGTTCTCATATGAAATTCGGCCCTGTGTGTCGCCAGATCCTTCAGTCCTTAATTCAGTTGTTACATTACCAGTGACTCGTTCCTCACTTAAAACCTGGGTGAAAAAATCGAAACAAATCAGAAAAAAGTTATAATTTGGAAATATACAAATATAGAATACAGTGAAAATGTTTAATTATTCAACAACGGACACTCAAATAATTGGTGCCTCGACATACGAGTTAAATTCATTTCGTAACTACGCTTCAATGTCGAATCGCTCGTATCTCAGAATAATTTTTTCTATATAAATTAATATAATTAAAAAATAAAAATAAAATTGTATATAATTAATAATTCGTTCCAGCATTTTGGTTTTTGTCAAGTTTTTCGAGTGCTAAAAAAATTACAATTTATTAATTTAAATGGTTTTTCTGTCCATTCATTGTATTGCTGTAATAAGTTTGTTGAATAACTGCAATGACCGAACTATTTATTGCAATTTTTTCTGGATGATTTTTATCCACAAACTTTTAGTGCTCAGAAAGCAGCTTATAAATTATGGTAAGGTCCTTAGCTGGAGTTATACCCTTATCAACTCCTGTTTAAACACAATACATAACTATGATGTACATCCGCGCCATCCCACTTATTTTCAATAATTTCACACTTGAATTCAAGAGTCATCGGACTTTTCTTTAGAGTTAGACCCATGGTTATAAAAGTACATATATAATATTTTTTAAATGTACAAAAAGCAAAAAAAAAACTCAAACTCAACATATATAATTTTACAATCTCTATTAATATATAGTTGAAATTTCAAACCTTAAAATAATCCTCGATGTGTTCTGGTGGGTAAATAGTTACTACACAATATTAATATATAACTAGTGTTATATGGCATCGTGCCTTAAGGCAAATTGTTGGAACTTCCCGTACCGTAATGCAATATTCGAGAAATTTTAAACATTTTCAAATATATTATTACAAATACTGTAACTTTCATTATTTTTGCTATACTGCTATATCTGAGCAAATTAAATGTAAATTATAAATAAATCAATTTAACTCCAGAACATTAACAATCATTTCATTTCGAATTCAATTTCAAAAAAATAGTTGCCTAATTTACACAAAATTGAAATTCCCCAGTATAATCACAGTCTAAACGCATTTGCAAATAATCCTGTGCGACATTTTCACTTATACTGTTGCTTAGCTTGGTGGCATTTTCACATTTTTCAATAGTTTTTTTTTCACAAAATTGAAAAAGTGCTCCAGTACATAAAACAGTCTAAACGCACTTGGGTAAACATTTGTACCATAGTGGCCCTAGACTGTGCTTAGCCTGGGTAATTTTTTGAATCTCATCTTCAGTGCTACAATTAAATATTTCAGAGTTTAAAACAATATAAAAAAAACATAATTACAGAAAAATATTAATAAAAATATGTAAAAAAGCATAAATCTAACCAATTTAATAAATTTGTTTTATAACTAATATATATTGTGGAAGTATATAAAAATGCGTCAAATCAAGACCCGAAAGCTATGTTTTCTTAATAAAAACATTTTCTTTCATTAAAAATTACTGGATGGATGCCTAAGAACAATTTTATCATATAATAGGTTGTCAAATATCTCCCTTCCGCCTTTTTGTATTATAAACCAAGAGCAAAAAAGCGGAAGGGAGATATTTGACAACCTAATATATACCTAAAATATGGCTAGAAGATGCTCCCAAATTTTTGGTACAGATACTTGGATTAAAACAAAAATATAAAAAAAAATGTGTAACTACAATAATTTATACAAACTGTACCCTCCTGTCTACGTTAGAAAATGCAACAAACAAGAAATTTGGGAGCATCCTTTTAAACATATATAGAAAATGGATCAAAAAACAAGTTATAAATAAACTTTAAAACTATTTTATACAAATTAATCCATTTCCCTGCGTCTATTATCTCCTCGAATCTCAAAACACTCGCATGTAAGATCTCTCAAAGTTCGTATCTCAAATTTTGCTCGTATGTCGGAGCAACGAGTCACACTTTAGGCGGGTCGCAATTACAATACCAAAACATCTCTTAACGTACATTTATTTTAAAATTATAACTTATAAATAACATGAAATAGGGCTAGAAGATGCTCCCAAATTTTTTGTGACAGGTACTTGGATTAAAACAAAAATATATAAAAAAACTTGTAACTACAATAATTTATACAAACTGCCCCTCCTGTCTTCGTTAGAACCAAAACGTACAAGAAATTTGGAAGCATCCTTTAATTAAACCTATATAGAAAATGGATTAAAAATAAACTTTAAATCTATCTTATTCAAATTAATCCATTTCCCTGTGTCTATTATTATCTCCTCTGACCTTCTGTACGATGACCGCCAAATCGCTGCCCTTGGAAAGGGAATCGGCAGGATTTTGGTGGAAGGGCTTATTTTTGGAGTCGCTGTTATTCGGCGTCGAGGTCGCATTGGGCGTACGTGGCCGGAGCGGAGAGGACAATGACAGGAGGGCACCCGTTTGCAGGCTATTTTTGATAGCCGCCACCAACTTATCGTCGGGCGACTCCGGAGTATCTCGGATGGACAGGAGAGGACTGGACAGACGCCACAAGGACCAGGCCAGGCGTGGATTGTCCTGGAGTATCAGGATGAGGATTGTGGAATGGATAAAGGATGTTGGAATGAATTTGTATCTTAAATGTATTTTTAAAACTATGACAGAACCGAACTAAAAATATTTAAAACAATATCTTACCATTTTTTTAAATTAATACAAAACATTAATTTAATTTAGGATATCATAAAAAAGTTTATTATTATGCTTGTTCTTGGTATTGAAAATTATGAAAATGTCTATTTGCCTTGCCATCAGGTGTACCAAAATAAAACCAAATAAAATGTTCAATATGAGTGTTGGAAATTCTCAGAACATTAGTATATCCATTTAGTTAATGAATAAGAAAGGCTCGTAACTGTATTACAATATTACTAAAATATATTATTAAATAGAAAATGAATAATGAAACATATAATAATCACTATTACTTCATCAACAAGTTTTTGTACAATGCGGCCTTAAGGGGCACAACTAGTGTGAAATTTTCAAAAAATCGATTATCGTTTTTTTTTTATATTTTGGTAGATTACACCTTTAAAAATAATATATAAAAATTTCAAATCGATATCTCAAATAGTTTTTGAGTTACAGCCATTTGAAAAGTATATATATAGTATATAGTACAACGATCATTTCATCTAAACGCGGTTTTCTCGAAACAGTATTTTCCGAATTTGCTGCAGTGATTACTCAAAAACGAATGATCCGATCACTATCAAATTTTTTTTACATGTTGTTTATATAGTTCTCCGTAAAATGAACTATCGATTTTTTGATCGGATCAAAAATCGAATTTTGGCAGTCGAAAACGACCAAAATTTTGGATAAAATTCGACTTTTTTTAAAAAACGCCGCCATTTTGTAAATTTTTGATCTATTTCTTTTATCGTAGTTCATTTTACAAAAAATATTATCTAGCTTAACGAGAATAATTTTTTTTTGATTTCATCCACGTAGAAGGCCGGAATCACTGCAGCAGTTAAGGGCCTTTTTTTTGTCGCGCCGTCGGAGATCGACGATAACTTAAAAACTATTTAATTTTTTTCTTCAAAAATTTTACTATGTATTCTTAGAACATGTATAAATATATTCCTAAGATTTTGAAATGATTGATAAAGTAGTTTTTTTAATATAAATTCCCAAAAATCACCTTTTTTTAGCACGAATATTTCAAAACTAAAAGTGGCCAAATCGGTTCAGCCGTAATCTAACATAATATCGAGCTCCATTTATATATAAAGAAGATAATATAGTAACAATTTACTTAATCAATCATATCAGGTGTTTGAAAATAATCGTTCAAATTTTGACAAAAATACTTAAATATTTCCTTTTTTTTAGTCTTAATTATTTATACAATACAAGAAAAATAACATCTCGCTTTCACTTGGGCTACATAACTCATTTTAGCCAAAACTCGAGTTAAACACTAATTATTAAATTAAAAAACTATGTAACTAAATTAAATGAAAGGCTTTAATACAAATTTCAAAAGTAATAAGGAAATAGAGATTATGAAAATAAAAACTTTTCTCTTGAATTAGCAATAACAATGTATAATGTTTATATAATAAAACTTTTTAACAAATATTTAAAAATGTTTGACGTTATAAACTACAAGTTGTATCAAAAGTAGCTTTAAAGAACTAGAAGGCTTTTCACAAATAGCATTTGGTTATATAGGATGAACAACGTGAAAAAAAAACTAGAATATTATCCAAAGAGTGATCTTGCCACTTCTGAAGCATATATAAAATTGACTCTCGTATCACCTATACAAATTACAATTTACAAAAGTAATACAAAAAAATAATCTTGATACTACAGAAAATTTTAGAAATTATCTATTCTATCAAAATGATAGAAAAGAAAATTATCAATAACGAGCATTAAAGAACCAAAAAAATCACTAAAAGAGAACTTGCTAAATATTAAACTAATCGAGTATTTTCTTACCACTTCCGGAGCAATTTTGGACACGGTGCTAGCAATGGGTTTGCCTGTGCGCCTATCATAAGTCATTTCGAATTCGACAGGGTCACCAATTTTCAAATGTTCAATGTTACCACTGAACTGACTGAAATGAAAGAATAGACGAGCCTGTCGTTCACAGCATTGAATAAAGCCATAGGAATGCTGAAAAAAAATTAACCAAAATTAATAATAATATTCTTTATCAGGTTCATTTTACTAAATTATTTAACATCACAAAAAATATTTCTACTTATTAAAAAATGATTTAGAATCGTGTTTCATGTGTCAAAAATTCATTTGTTTGGCATTGGATATGGAATATTTAGCAAGTTGATCTTAGATTGAAAAAGTGCTCATATGAACTAAATTTTACAAATCAATTCACCTAAGATCTCTCAAAAAAGCTCTCTTAGAACTGTTGAGGCTCATCTAGAACTTTTGGCTTCATAAAAAGTCAAAAACATCCGATAGTAGATTAATACATTAAGATTAGAAGTACCTCCTACAATTATAATTTGCAATTCCACAAAAATTTAACCACCCTTTCATCAAATTGACTCAAAAAGATCGTCATTCTATCGCATTATATGCATTTTTTATCTAAACTTCTTGAAAAATATTTACAAATATTTTTAAATTTGATCCCGATCATTTATAAAATATAAATAAAATAACCAAGGTGATTCAAATAATAGAAGTCGAAATTTCAATTCAATATTATAAAAATTCGATACCCTCTTCCTATGAAGATACTCAAATAACAAGATAACCAATAATGCAACTACAAAACATGGAATATTTCAAAATCGATTAAAGATAAAATTAACCTCCTTATCAAGCATGGTAATTATTCATTCAAACAAACAATTCCGTAATGCATTATAATTAATATCTGTAGTTACAACTGATTTGAGTGCAACATAAATAATCGTTATCAAATATATACAATGAAGCTATAAATAGAATCACTAGATAATTTTAGTTGAGCAGAGCCTGTAATAATTAACATGACCATGTTTAATCAACTTTTTTAATTTACCCAAGGATAATATGTATTCGCCGGAAAATCTGAGTCGCTAATTTTATGTTTAGCCGGCATTTCAAACCTGGTATCAAAATTGTAAAAAAGTAAGTGTTAGAGGCAAAATATCCCATATCATCCACAGATTTCGAAAATTTAAAAGCCATTCCTAAAATACGATCTACCAAGCTATTTCTTTATAATTAGCAGATAAGTTTAAAATTTGTTGTCACGGTTTTCGCGAAAAATCTTGATTTTTTAGTTAAATTCAAAAACTGTTCGAAAGAAATCAGTTGGAAATCGTGCAAATTAATTTTTAGTAAGGATTGGCCGGCCACAAAAAATCTTGACAAATCACGTGGGGGAAGGAGAGGTCTAGTAAAATATCACGTGTATTTATTCTTTATCTAAATTTTCAAAAAAAATGTAAGTTTTTTTTCGTAAATTCGAAGAATTTGTTCGGAAAATTTTACCTAACCAAAAAGACACGAAATTTTGGTGGGGGAGGAGAGCCCAAAAATCGATCACATGATTAATGGACGCCCCCTATTATGCTTATAAGCCTATATTATATATTGGGATGCTGAATGGGATATTTCACTCGATGATGCATCTACTACATTTCAACAAACAATCACAAAAAAGATACGAGCGCTATTTTCAATCTTAATAATAAGATTGTAACAAAATCGCATTTTTATCATTTTCATTTATATGCATAACACAACAAAGCATGAAACAAGCAAAAAGTAGTAATGTTTATATAAACATTGAATATCAAAACGTGCCAATTCAATTTGAATGAAATCAGTTTCAGATTAGGCTGGAACTTGCAATGCCTATTAGTAAGACCTAATAGCATTTTTATGTGCCATTGTTTGCAGCAGGTAAACCATCCATTTAATTTTTGTTAGTTGCCTCGTTCACCATACACTAATACATTCTTAATCAGTTAGTTATTTTTTATACAAAAGATTTTCTAGAAATATTTTTTATGTCTAAACAAAGTTTGCCGGGCCAGCAAGTATGTTATAAAAAATTACCACATTCAAATTTATGAGAGACATAGGCAAAAGATCAATTGCAGTAAGGTTAGTTAAAACAGTAATTCCGCTTATAAATATCAATATTTATTGCAAAAACTTCGTACTCAGTATGAAATTATTTGTTTTGTTTGATATCAATTTATCTTCAAGAAAATGGTTGGAATTCTACAGACAGGACGCAAATTCGAAAAGCATAACATACAATAGAAAACATTGTGTACTTTTGCACAGTATGCCAAAACAATTTTAATATGAATTGTCTTTCAACTTGCAACCAAATGAAAATTTAAAACAATTTTTATTGAAATAATTTCTATATTATTCGTAGTTTCTATAAATGTTTGAAGTTATTGGAATGGAAAATAGTTTTTAGGCAAAACAGCTATTACAGCTGTTCAAAAAATGAGATTATATCGCCAGCGAAAAAGTAAAATAAATACAAGCAGTCAATGAATGTATGTTAATTTTAATTACATGAAGTTCTTCAAACAAAATTATTACATGATGAGTGAAGTTGCGAAAACAATATTTGTTTAGGCGTTGTTGAACATAATCCACTCTGTGAACAAATATTAATAGAATTTATTAATCAGCAATTACTCCATTTCTCTAATAAAGGTTCATTTCTAAATGCTAATTACAATGACATGTGATCATGTGAACAATGACAATGATCATGTCATATTTGAAGTATGACTTTAATTACATTATTGTTTTTAAATATCATACATATTTTAATGCTATTATAAATATATAATTTATAATTTATCATTATATAAATGTGTATAATGGTTGACACTAATAAATGTGTGCATCACGAGTGTTACCATGTTAATACTAATAAAGATTATTCAAAATTTTTATATGATGTATTTAATTTACTTAAATGCAATCTTGTACAGTAGAAAATAAGTTTTACTTCAATCGCGAGTAAACCTTACGCGCACTCTTTTTTTTTGCATAATTTATTTTTGTTAATCAAGGCTTTGGTTGTCTTATTTACAAAATTGATAGGTACAAAAAAGAAATGATACAAAAAATACAATAAATTGAATATAAAATGAAATGAAATTAAAATAAAATAAAATAATAACAGTAATACAAAAATAATAATATAAATGAACTATTATGTGATTAATTTGGAACATGATGGATAACGCAAGATAAAAAACTAGTGGTGTATGGCAAATAAGGCAAATTGCAGAAACTTCCCGTACCGTAATGAAATATTCGAGAAACTTTAAACGTTTTCAATTTCACGTAGTTTTCATAATTTTTACTATCTTGTTATATGTGAGCAAATCAAATGTAAATTATAAATCAATTTATCTCCAGAACATTAACAATCGTCATTTCATTTCAAATTCAATTTCAAAAAATAGTTGCCTAATTTACACAAAATTGAAAAAGTGCTCCCGTATAGTCACAGTCTAAACGCATTTGCAAATAATTATGTGCGACATTTTCACTTATACTGTGATTAGCTAGGCGGCATTTTCACATTTTTCAATAGTTTTTTTTTCACAAAATTGGAAAAGTGCTCCAGTACATAAACAGTCTAAACGCTCTTGGGTAAACATTTGTACCAGAATGGCGCTTAGACTGTGCTTAGCCTGGGTAATTTTTTGAGTTTTTAATCCAAAATTACTAAAATATTTTTCGAAAAAAAATAGAAACAATTTTTTTTTCCGAAAGCAATTATTTTGTTGAAACAAGCAGAAAGTTCTTTGAATCATTTAAATCGGACGCTTAGTTCTCTCAAAAAACTGGCATTTTTTGCACATTTATCTCCGTATCTTCGAAATGGCTGGGCCTGCGTTTGCCAAAAACTAATAAACACTTTTCCCAATCATTACAAATTGAATGTTTTTAGATCATTCAAATCCGATACTCCTTTCTCTCAAAAACTCGATTTGTATTTTCTGCCCTCTTTGCTCCGTATCTCCGTAACGGCTAGACCTGCCTTTGCCAAAATCTAATCAGCACATCTCCTTATCAATAGAGATCGAATGTTTTTTAAACCATTCAAATCGGCTGATCCGTGCGCCCGAAAACGTGACTGGAAATTTGTATCCATACATATATACGTACACACACACATCCATTTTTTCTCTGAGATATGCCAAAATGTTCAGAAACCTTCAAAATGTCGAGAAATGTGAAAATTTTCAATTTCGATTTTCGGCCCATTAATAACGGTAATACAAAAATATTAATGTAAATGTTTAATTTAATTTTATTTAATGTTATATATTTGTAGTTTATATTAAGTCTATGTATATATACAAAGCTATCTATGAACTCTTAATACTCAAATTTTCTCATATTATCTTTAGTTTATAATTTGTACAATTTAAAATGTAATTATATTGTATTATTGCCATGTGTGTTGAATAAATAAAATTAAAATAAAAAAATTAAATTAAATTAAAAAAATGGACTATGACGTGAAAAATATATTATCGACTTACCAATAATTTCTCAATAATCCCAGTCTCCCTTGTCCCTTGATTGTTGGAATCATTATTAGAGCCTGCTCCACTGCTGCCGAAACTATTATTGTTCACATTGCCCCCGCCAGACGACGTCTGCGAATTGTTGGCTGTGGAAAACAACCCCACGGTACTGGAGTCGCCGCTACTGTTGAACGAAGTCGACTGATTCTGCGAGGTGCCGTTGCCGACGCCGCCGGGGTTGTCGAGGGTGAATGTGCCGATCGTTGGAAAGCGGCCGGACGAGCCCCCTGACGAGCACAGAGGCGGGCGAAGAACTTGTTGGATAGGAAAAGTATTGTTTGGTTGTGTCGCTGAAACCTCCTGGGGAAGAAATAATTTATTTCTTTTAATATAAATTGTAATATTATATTATATATTTTATTCACAGTAGTACCCCGACTCACGGGTGTTTCTAAATACGAGCCGACAAAGGAACGATGCGTTGCTTCGACATACGAGTGAAATTTTAAATTCGAGGTTTGAGCGAATAAGAGTTTTTAAAAAAATGTTAAAGGCAAAATGAAATTACGAACAATTTTGTCAGCTGTAACAATGATTTTCCTACCATATGAATATTTTTACTGTTTTGGTCATTTCATTTATGCATTAAGGGGGTATTCTAGTGTAGGAATTCAAAAAAATCGATTTTTTTTTTATTTCATAATTTCAAAGTTTAACCATCTAAGAATATGGGTACGAGAAAAATTTTGAAAATTTGAATTATTTTCGGAGATATAGGCATTTTACTGACTCGGTCTCCAAACTGGTTTGGCAGGGTCTAATCGGACAAAAGGCATTAGGAAGTCATTAGACCAATTTAAGACAGTTTATCGTCAAATGAATTATTAATTCAATGTATAGGTTCGGAAACTCAGAACAATAATGAACCTCTAAACTCGTTGATTTGGATTTTCGCGCCGAAACATTCATTCCCGATCACGGGTATATGAAAAGCAACATTTATTGCTGTTTGCATATTCAATGAAGGTATCTTTCCGATTTTAAAAATGATGACCCTTATGGTAATGCAAATTGGGTCAGAAACTCATTCATTTGCTGTAAGACGAGACAATGCCCGGATTGAACGAAATACGTACATCCAACGCTTCAAAGGAGACTAGAATTGCTCGATTTGAAGAGAGAAATGCAGAAAATAGTTTTTTTGAAGTAGAAGAAGGTCCGATGCATGAATCAGGAATGGCAGATTAAATAAAAGAAGTATAACATATCATTTTATGACTTTGACAGCAAAAAACTTCACGCAAAACTTTAAATGCGTTTTTCTCACAACAGACTTTTTCAGTATTGTTGACATGATTTCTCGAGTTCTACTCGAGCGGTGCACTTGAAATGTTCAGAGAGTCTTGTTTATAGACCTATCTGTAGCCCGAACTAGCATCATCCCCAAATTCCAATTTTTACTATATTTAAAATATTAGAGAAACTCAAAAAAAAACTGTAAAAAAGACACTTTTTTGTCAAACAGTCGCCAATTTATAAATAAATGCTATTTTTTACTCATCGCTAGTTCGGGCGATTGCGGCATCACTGTAGATTAATAATCTTTTTATTTCTTTTATTTCGGATGGCTAGGAGAGCTGAAATCGTGTCAAGACTGAGGTGCCAATTTTTTGGGACCCCCCAACTTCATCAGCTGCCAGTTTCTTCAATTTTCAACTTTTTTTTTTAATTTTTGTATTGTATTTTAATAATATTAATAAAATGGATAGTAAAAACATTCATTGCTTTCTTTTACGACACTTTAAAAATAACCTAAAATTAATCGCTCAACACTAGAATACCCCCTTAATATTAATAGTGTAATAACGATTTGCCCACGCGAGTATATCGAAGATTATTTTAACGTTAGAAATTTCAGCTATACGTTATTAGTGATTTTGCAAAATATTTACTTTTGTAAACATGGGTCCAAAGAAAAGGGTCTTGAATTAAAGGAAGAAATTATTGAAAAATATGAGGATGGCAAAGATATACGAGCGACAAGACAAGAAAAAACAGTAACATCAATCAATTGTCACATCAATTTTTTCTAAGGTATGCCAAAATGTTCAGAAACCTTCAGAACGTCAAGATATGCAAAAATTTTCAGTTTCGATTGTTGGACGATTACAGTAACTTACGGGAAGCCAATTAAGATAGTAAATTTATTTTTGATATTAAAAAAAAAATTAAAAAACCGGTACTGGAACGAATTAATGGCATTTCAATGTATTTATATAGAAATAAAATTAATATATATAGAAATAAAATTAATTAATACGGGTACCACCGTATTTTACGAAATGTAAAATGTCAGACAATAAGTAGTATTTTGCTTTAAGGCAAGTTGCAATAACTTCCTGATAAGTGTTATTCTTTTACAGCACACCAACCAGACATTTTAGAATAGCCTGAATTTTTTTTCCAGATTATTATGAATAAATTTTTTTATAAAAATATTTTTTTTTTACTTGAATAATAATATAAATTTTGTACATCTCATAAAATTGATGATTTGACCATCGTCTGCATTAAATTAATTATCTCCAGTTGTGCTGATCAGATCAGTATTATATTTTTTAATCTTAATCTTTTATATGCAAAATTCATAACATTTGACCAAATCATTCATATTGTAATTATTCATGTTCTTTGAGGAAATATGCATAAACTCCATACTCTAATATATTACAAAAATGTATTTTGAACATATTTTGGTATGGTAATCATTTCAATAAGTGTAAAGTTTTGAAGCTCAAAATTCATTTTGTGAATGTAAGAATAAGAACAAATCATGAGAATTCGAATAAATAAATAAAGTTAATTATGACTCACCATTCCGATAAGATTTAGGTGTGGAATTATGTCCGGGTGCTGTAATGTTACTGTAAGATTTAAAATCCAAAATAGCAGGATCGGATGTCAGGCTTGACGGCTGGAAACTCTTCCACTGAGGATTATTAGACATTGTCAACAATGATTATTTTGTTCTGTTCAGGACCGTCTAAAAATTCTTTACTATTCTTTTCAAACACGTTTATCTATTGTACATATATAAAATACAAAGGCTTGTCGTTTCTCTTGAGGCTTGGTATTTAAATATAAGCAGAGCTATATCACAGAAAGGTAATAAGAAAATTTCACAAATTTCTATAACACTGGAAAAGATCACATTGATACGATCGTCACATCAAAGACATCAGTTTTTTTTTTATTTTTGGACTGTCCAACATACTTAAGATCATGACACACACGATGGGCCTTGATCACATCGCTAACACTTGGTGAAAATTTGTTTTCTGTTTCAAATTTGGTTCACATCAGAATTTGTCCAGTTTACGTTTTGTACTGACATTGACTTTTCTTCTAACTAGATTTATATACATACAAAATCACTAAATACACAATTACACAGGTAACTCTAAATAGATGGTTGCAGTTTTGAATTTGATTTTCTTTGCACGATGTTAACTTCATAAATATATGCTTAGTAGATTTTTGGCTAAAGGAAAGTTGAGAAAATTTATTGGGAAGTCCAAATGGGTTTCTATATGAAATGAAAATCCTCAGATGTCTTCAATGCGTGCTGAGTGCGATGTTGCGGATCTTGTTTGAATTTGTTCGATTTGCTGTTGCGATCTTGAGATTTTTTTTCAAAACAAAAATTTTACTTACAATTTACTAAATCTAGAGGATGTGAATTTAATCACACAAGCTGAAACAAGGAGAAAACATTTAGAATCTTGAAATAATTGAACAAAAAAAAATCATAGTAAGATTTTTCAAATATACATATATATATATATCTTATATATAAAATTCTTCTGTAACAATGTAAGTTTCATATTTCCTCCTAAACTATAATTCGGATTTTCATGAATCTTCCTGAAGTTTGTTCGGGAAATTTTTTAGAATGTTTTGATTCATATAAATATAGCTAAATTGTAGAAATAAATAGAAAAAATTACAAAAAACCGCTTATCATTGTTTGCCCTTGAAAATATTTGAAGTTTAGTTTGACATTAAAAACAATTGAGGACTGTCATTTGCCAAACATTTCTATTCACTTATAGGCTAAGGCGATATTAGAATATAATAAATTCATAATTATGAATAAGGAAAATGTAATGTCTACATTATTAATGCCGAAAAGCAGCTGAGATGTGCCAAAAATTAAATTAATATAAGATGCAAATAATATAACAAGCATTTGACAAGTGATGCAGTCTGCGCATGCGTCTGACGTGCGCGTGGTTTGCTTTTGCTTGCAATAATTTTGTTTGCGCACTTTGCGAACAGTTTCGCCGTACGAATTCGCGCAAAGGAGGCGAGCCATAAGTGATTGCGCTCAAACATATTCAATTTGCAGTCGTTTTGCCTTACTATACTAAGTCGCAATACAAAAAAAAAATATTTAGAAGTTTCATTGTGTCAAAAATTCATATGTTTGTCATTGGGTACGGAATATTTACTCAATGGAGCGCTTTGGGTCTGAAATTTTTACTGTTTTCCAATTCGTTTGGAATTTTGGAACTAGGTTCATCTTACTCTTCAGAAGTGAAGACAATTTAGACTCGTTTACCACTTCTCGGGTGGATGACATTTCTTTTCAGTGGTGTAATTTTACTTTTTTCAAAATAACGTTGGGTATCGATAAAAGAACTAATTATACGAGAAAAATATTTAATAATGTTTTTCAAAAAAGGAAATACTTTTCAAGTTACTGGCTACTGAATATTTGTTTCTTTTTTGCGTTTTTCATCATTTTTTTGCTAACACCTTCAAAAATATACATCTTAACGAAAATCATGTAATGAACAGAATTATATCAATTAAAATCTTAATAAATCGTTATTTTATAGTGTTTTAGGAACATTATTAGGCTAGATATGAAAATGGGTTTTTATAGTGCTCAAAATAAGCTTTAAAATGAGTACTTCTGCGTGTAAAATAAAGTGAGCTATCATGCAGATAAAGGACGCATGCAATGCTTTTTTTTCATTTAAATCAAATACTTTGAGCGCCATATCCACCAAAATTAAAAATAATCGTATTCAATTTAGAATTAACTTGGTTTAAGAGATCTTGATGGATTCTAGAAAATACCACAACTTTAGTACAAATGATTTTCAAAAAACTCATGATTTCATGAAAAAAAAACATTTAAAAAAAACAACCAATTTCTCATCATCATACCTCTGAAAGAATACGTATAAAAGTATATATATATATGAAAATTCGAGGTATTTTTCTGACTAATTATTATTGTTTATTATTATTTCGTTACACAAATATTGATAGATGTATGATTAATTAAGGAGCTGTCCAACCAGAGGTCTTTCGAGCCCTTTAACCCTTCGCCGTTTTACAATAAGAGAAGTTACGGTAAAATTAATGATAGAGAAAGTTGTAGCTCATTTAATCACCTTTAAAATAGTGTATTACAAGTTCTGATAAAATCAGAATTAAAAGAGTAATAATCCAATTAATGCTGTGGATGGTAACGGAGTGCAAATTGTTAAAAACATTGAAATTAAGATAAAGATTAGCCTATTTCCAAAATATCAAGTAAATTGGAGCACAGTAAAAAAATTCACAGAGCAATAATTTTGTTGATTATAAGTTGAATAGAGCACATGTGAACAGGATTTGACAAATTAATTCACTTCAAATATAAACTTAAGCAATAATGTATATTGATTTATTGGAGAAAAAATGTAATTTAGATATTAAAATTACTAAAAGCCAGTTAAAATATGGCACGAAATTATAAAAATTATAGGCAACATTATTGAAGCATATATTTTGGGTAGAAAAATAAAAGGTGATATTGCACCTTTGCCGCGAATGCTATATATTAATTCTTTCTGAATTTGTTGTACTTTTTAAAAGATTTCAATTTTCAACACGTGTATCTTATGCTATAACCATAAATCACAAAGGCAGACGATTATTTTTAGTGTGATAAATTTGGAAAATCAATGTTTTAGTCGTGAATAAACAAAAAATCATTCATTTATACATCCACATCTACAGGTATGACTAAAAATACTATATAACCCTTAAATGCAATAAAATAAATTGAGCTATTGGAAATAAATTTATTCTATAAATCGCAGTGTATAATTTTTAATATACAATTTTATTGAACATTTTTTAATATTTGTTAAATGAATAATTAAAGTGTTAACTGTGGGAATTGAGAATAATCATTTTATTTGAAATAGTTCTACATTCAACATCACTCATATATTGGTGTAAATAGTAATTCAAAAAACAGTAATTATTATTTTTAACTAAGCAGTAAATATTAGTATAAAAAATTGAAAAATTGTAGACATGAGTACAGAACAACGTCTGTCGGGTCAGCTAGTATATATATATATATATTAGATGGTAGAGTCTTGGATTTGTAAATATTTTGTAGAGCTTCGAACAAAGAATCAGAAAGTTCTTTAAAAAATACAATATGTACACAAACGAATCAGGCAACATGAATTAACATAAATGAATAAAAAAAAGTTTTTTAAAAAATCATTTTTTTATTTATTTACTGTCGACGTTTCGGAACTAGGTACGTTCCATCTTCAGGACATCTGTTAAAAACATGATCTTGATAAGATTTAAGCAAACAATATGTTTAAGAAAAGCAGAAGATGATGAAATTTTTTATATAAAATGAATACAATTGTGGAAAAAATAATGTACAGAAATATGACAATATAATCAAAATGAAAATGATGAAGATAAATGACTGGATTATATAACAAAATATTAAAAATGTTAAAAAATTATTAGGTTTTAGGAAGTTCTAAGAAAAGGTTACTGAAGAAAACAGAATTAATTACCTGCAAAAAGTGATTTTATAAATTTCTTTTCAGACAAAGAAACAAATTTTGTAATTCAAATTATGTATTTGTCTAGTGTGTTATAGACAAATAGTATTATTCCCTCGATGCTATGAGACGAACTATTGGTAACGAACTGATTATTAAATGAAAGGATTTTTTAAAAAGAAAGCACTTGACACTTGGAATCTGTGTGTATATGTGTGTGTGTGTTATTTTTATATATAAGAATGTAAATACTTAAATTATTGATCTTTAATGAATGTCCTGAATGGATAATGTGATCTAATGTTAATACTATTAGAAGCGTTCATAAGTATAAGAAACTTTGCGCAGATAACAACTTAAAGATGCAATTCTCATGATATAAAATCTTGGGAGTAAAGTTAAACGAGTGGGTATTTTTGGCAGAGTGTTGTACAAGGGTACTTTTGAATTTTTTTTGTTTATGGTGGACCACACTTAATTCAAGTTGCCTCATTCTTTTATGTGCATACTGTGAGTTTTGTCCAATGTGTAGGAAAAAACAGTTGTTGCAAGAAACAGTCGTTGCAAATGTATATATAAAAAATCCATCATCTTCTGCTTTTCTTAAACAAATTGTTTGCTTGAATCTTATCAAGATCATGTTCCTTGACAGATGTCCTAAAGATGGAATGTACTTAGTTCCAAAACGTCGACAGTAAATAAAATCAATGGTTTTTTAAAAAACTTTTGTTTTTAATTACAATTATCAAAGATCTACAATATATATATATATATATATATATATATATATATATATATATATATATATATATATGATCCTGTATTTGATATTTATGACTTCATATCCCATAATATAATTCTTCGATTAAATTCAACTGGTATATTATGCTAGGGCACAAGAAGTACTAAGCAATGTTTTACAAAAAAAAAATATTACTTAGGAACTCAAGAAGTACTAAGCAATATTTTACAAAAAAGAATTACTTAGGAACTCAAGTGTCAAAAGTAAGTTATATTAATAAATAAATGTATATTGGTAAAATTATTTTTTGATTGAGATCAAATTTTGCAGACCAAAATTAAATTTTAAAAAACTACAAGAATAAGTAAATATTTGCATTAATCTCCACATGAGAATTTTAATATTTCTTGCTTATATATATATTTATATATATATATATATATATATATATATATATATATATACCTATACATAAATTATTATTGATGCCACATATATGGATTTTAACATTTCCAAAATTTAATATTGTCCAATTGCCAACAGCATTTAATGCTGCACGTGTATCCATTCAAATACCATTTTATTATTATTAATAATATTACATTTTGTCAAAATCACTTATATGCGCACAAACCGAATTGGGGTTGTATCTCACAATACAAGCAATGGCACAAAAATGGAGAAACATGCCTTGTTTTAAGGCCATTATTAACATATTACTATAATGATCAATGATTAATTGACTTGTGCAATAAATACCTATTACAACTGGTGCCATTTTTACGAAATCTTGAGGGAATTTGATACTGAACATAAAACAACAAAATATTTGAAACTCACCACGACACAGCACAGCACTGACGACATGCCGCCATGTTGAATGTCAACATGTCTGGTCAGAAGTGTTACCAGATGAATCATAATGGAACTTAAGTTCGAGTTTTGTTGTAATTAATTATTTAATTGAATTTCAATTAAAGCATTTATTAATGTAAGTCATTTCAATAGCAATTGATACTATTTTTAATGTCGTTTATTCATAATTTTTTAACTTTTTTTAAATTTTGAGAACGGGGTTTGGCATTGACATTGGATTAAAACAAAAACAAAAGCCGATTACTATGATGTGGAATGAAAACATTAATGAACCAACCGCATGCTGCCACGCAAAATCATGTTTTGTCTAAATAAAATTTATTATTTGTTATTTAATCAAATGTAAATGTAACTAGTGGTGTATGGGATCGTGTCTTAAGGCAAATTACAGTAACTTCCCGTACCATTGAGTATATATTATTAAGAATACTGTATAACTGTCACTATTCGTATTTTATAGACGAAATATAAAAGCTTATGAATTGGCGACGATGTTAATATATGTTTACATGAAAAGTAAATAAACGAAACTTAATGAAGCGGAGTAAAAATGAAAAGACCTTATCTCCATACTTCTAAAGATTTTATAAACTGAATTGCAAAGTTAAAATAATTTTTTTGAAGTATATAAGTAAGCTTTAGAATTTTAGCCTAAATTAAAATTAAAATCCAAATTATTTTCGATATTAATTTTTTTTTACCCAAAAACAATCGTTTCGTCAATACAAGCAAAAATCTTTTTGAATCACTCAAATTACGGATGCTTCGTTCTCTCAAAACTGCTATTTAACTCCGTATCTCCAAAACCGCTGAACCTGCCTTTGCCAAAAACTAATCTCCACTTCTCCCCATACTTACGAATCGAATGATTTTGAATCATTCAATTTGTGTACTCCGTCCTCTCAAAAACTCAATTTCTATTTTCTGCACTCTTTGTTCCGCATCTCCAAAACGGCTGGACCTGCTTTTGCCAAAAACTAATCAGCACATCTCCCTATCAAAAGGAATCAATTGCTTTTTGACTAAATCAAATCGGTTGATCCGTGCGCCCGAAATTGTGGACGAAAGTTTGTATATACTTTAAATAAATAATTTCGCATTTGCAATTTATGGGGCAATTCTGCAGTAATAGAGCTCATAGTTGTCATAGCAACGCTCTCATATGTAAAATAAATTATGAAAATGTCTATCTATTTGCCGTGTGATCAGGCGTATTTTACATAAAAGCAAGCAAGGGAGAATGTTATGATAACAGAATTCTAGATGGTGCAGTTATCATAACATTATTCCTTGCTTGTTTAAATATGTAAAATACGCCTGATCGCACGGCAAATAGATCACAGAGAAAAAAAGTTAGAAAAAAAAGATACTTGGTGGTCTAAAATGATCTTTACAGCAGACATATTCACATCAAATCATCAGATATTTTATAAATATTTTAATAATAAGAACAAATTTTGTTATATTTTTTTTGGGTTCCGTACCAAGATTTTTAATTTTTAAGTTTTACTTATACGGTTCAAACAAATTTTAAAATTTTCAGAAAAAAATGTTTTTCAAAATTTTCAAAAATATACAAAGTTTTATACTTCAAATTTCTAATTCAGTTGAAAACTGTATATATTTTATATGCGTTATTCAAATCGTAAAAAAAAAATCCTCAAATGGATCCATTCGGTATCTCTTTGTTAATGTAAACATTTTCAAGTGTTTTAAGCGATAAGATCCTCACGTTATATTATATGTAAAAATAAATATAATTATCTTTTTGAAAACATTTAAAACAATTGTTATTATTCATCATTGATCGAAATTTATTGATTATTATTTTTTTTTTTGCTCGAATATTTAATTCTGTTGCGGGAAACTACCTTAACTTTGAAATTCCTTTTTACCTATGGAAGATTTTACGAAATAAGTTCGTAATCAAAAACAAAGTAAAACCGGTAATTATGTTCTGATTCAAAAATTTGACATGTTCACTTCCTATTTTAGTAAATCAACCTGATTATGATTATATAAATTTAAAAAAAAACTCCAAATTATATTTGAATATTTATTTTGCGTGGTATGTTTGGGAGTAATAATGTTACCAGATTGCATAAGAAATCTCATCGACTGTCACATGTCATAAATGGTAATATGACGGAATGCACCTATTTGAAGTTATGATTAATTTGTGTTGTAAATATATTGTAGCTCGTTGATTGAAAAAGCGTTTTGTTTATTTATTTTTAACGTTAAAAACAAAAATGGATATCATATTTCATGAGAAGGTAAATTGCATACTTTGTTTCTATGTGTTAATGTAATTGTAATTGTGTGTATTCATTTTTAGCAAGACGGTCGTTTGTGTGCTCAGCATTGTCTAAATGCTTTATTGCAAGGCCCATATTTTTCTGCAGTAGAATTAAGTATAATAGCAAACAAGCTCGATGACGAGGAAAGAGAACAGATGGCTGAGAACGGAGTTGACTCTGATGAATACCAACAATTTCTCCAACAGCCCTCTAATAATCTAGATGACACTGGCTATTTCTCAGTTCAAGTTATAAGTAAAGCCTTATCCCTGTGGGGATTGGATTTAGTTAACTACTGGAGCAGTGAACCAGAAGCCCTAAGCGCCCGTGCTGATCCTAGCATGATGAACGCATTCATTTGTCATCACCAAAATCATTGGTTTTGTATCCGAAAATTTGGCTATGAGTGGTTTAATCTTAACTCTTTACTCTCGGGGCCTAAATACATGAGTGACACTTATCTTGCTGAATTTCTTAACGAGTTGCAATCATCAGGGTACACAATATTTGTAGTGTCTGGAGTTTTTCCACAGTGTGATGCCGATAAATTAGTTAATGAAACACAACTCTCCCTTAGGTACTTATATGCAATTACCAATAACCATAACATTTTTGAAAACAGTTTACTGTCTAAAGTGCTATTCGTATTAGCAACAATTTTAATTTTCTATTTGCTATGTATGTAATTTATTTTAAATACATACATGATTTTTGAACCAGAAAGGTTCGTATCGACATATTATTTTAGTTATATTTAATATAACTTAGATTTACAAATTAGTTTGTTTTAGGCCAACTATAAATATACCATTGGAGCAATCACCTATTGCTATACCTAATGGTAAAGAGCATATAATTCCGATAACGTTAGAGACTGATCAACCTGTAGCTCACACTACGGAACAAGAATCTGTTATTTCTTCAGATGATGACGAAGATTTGCAAAAAGCAATTTCTCTAAGCTTGCAAGGCGAGAATAATAGTTTAAAGGAAATTATACAAATACAACCAATCCCGACCGATGATGAGGAACTACAGGTAAAGTAAATTTCCATTTATAGATATTTTAATTTTAAATAATGGTATTTTTAAGTATGACATTGACAGCTTTCATGTTTTTTTTTATATATTACAATTGCAGGCTGCCTTAAGATTGAGTTTAGAATGTTTTTCCAATCCTGTAACACCTGATCCGATAGAGACTACCGATTGTAATCGAATGATCCGCATTGAATCAGATGTAAGCAGCGCTCAAAATATGATAAAAGATTAGTAATAGTTTATTAAATAAATCAAATTTTAAAAATAACAAAGTTACTATCAGTTTTAAACTAAAAGAGATATATTTTTAATACCATTAATATATATGTTGATTTTTTAAAAATTATATTTATACATGGGAAAAAATGTATAATGTTGTTGGTATCATCATTAGTACAAATAATCGTGTTGACTAAAACTACTTATACTGATGATACATAGTTAAATTTTTATGATAAGTAGATTTATAACATTAGTTTATTTAATATTTTTTTTGTCTTTATTTGTTATACATTTTAAATTATATAACAGGGTTAAATCGGCGTAGCTCAAAATGCGTACATATATATAAAAATGAATATATTTTTATATGAAATTTGAAAAAAAAGTCTAATGGTTAGATTATATTTTATAATTATATAATTTATAAATGCATGTAACAATGTTCTCAGATAATTTAAGTGCGTTAGAGAAAGTTCTCTTGGAAATCACAATGTTTAGATTTTATTTTTCCTTATATTCTAAAAGGTTCAAAGTATATTTTAAGCCTAAACATTTTTTTTGGTTTTTCGAAAACTCTACAGTGGTGTACACCCCTTAAAGTCGAAGCCATAGACCTAAATTAATGAACCTGTCTTGGATCCATTAATAGGATTAATTTGTTTTTAAATAAAAATTTGGCAGTGATATTAGTGATAATTCCAAAGCACTTACTACAAATTTTTAACTATATATAAAGGTGCCTTTGCTATTTGAATTTATTATTGAATCACTTATTTATTTATTTAATTTGATTATTATTATTATTATTTATAGTAGGTATTAATTTGGGTCTGTGTTGATTATTGATGTTTTGTAAAATGAAACTCAATTTTAGTACTCGTAATTAGAATTGTGATAAACATTTAGTAAATTTAAGTTCACCATGTTACTATCATCTATTAACTATAGCATTTTCAATATTGAAATATTTACTGTGCAGCTAATATAACAATTTTGTTTTTCTGATCTTGATTGTTAATTTAGTTTACAAAGTATTGATAAATAATTTGATTATTGTTTCTTGGAAATATTTAATATAATATAAGCACATTGCTTTTAATTTAAGACATTAAGAAAATCATATTGTGATAACATTTTATTAATATGTTTAAACATTACATGGAGCTTAAAATCAATAAATATGTTTGTTCATTTCATTTCATTATCAAGATAAAATTTAATTTATATATTTCATGTTGATGATATATTTCTAATAAATACATTATTTATTATAAATACATATTTTTAATAAACACATTATTTAACTGAAACAAATTGTGTTTTGTATTGGAATATTTTTAGTGTTAAATATAGTGCATTTGAGAGCTCTAGGCACATAATTTGAGAACTCATTTACATTTATTTTTTTTAACTTAAAAAAAATTGAGAATGTTATTTTTTATATATCTTTACGTTTCAAAGTTTCTGAACATTTTGGCATACCTTAGATAAAATGGATGTGTGTGTGTGTGTGTGTGCGGATACAATTTTAGTCGACGATTTAGGGAATACGAATCAACCGATTTAAGTAATTCAAAAAACATTCGATTCCTATTGATCAGGAGACATGCTGATTAGTTTTTTACAAAGGTAGGTCCAGTCGTTTTGAAGATACGAAGTAAAAAATGTCATTCTAGTTTTCGAGAGAACAGAGCGTCCGATTTGAATAATTCAAAAAACATTTTTTTGGTATTGACTAAACAAAGAACTGATTAAATTTTTAGGAAGGCAGATCCAGCGGTTACGGAGACTCAATAAAATGTTTTAACAGCTTATTCGTGGAAATAAAAAAATGAGTTAAAAAACATTTCGTTATTGTTATACGTTTCGACACTTTATGCGAATAGAATCTTTCGTTCGTTATATTTCTTCTCTGTTTCTCTTTCCCCTTTCGTTTCTCACAAATCGCTCCAACTCTATTACACGGGCGGACTACACTGCGTTGTAACCTTGATCAGTGTCCACAATGCACCGCTATCAATAACATTAAATATAGGAGGGCAAGATGTGCTCCTTCTATTTCTCGTTTTATTAATATAATAGTATTTTATTATTTTACACAAATTTAGTGTTCAATCAATTTTACATCATAATTAATTTTTTCTGTTGTATTTCCTGGTTTGGTATGTATAATTTCCTCCTTTTTATATATTTATATTTATCATCAACTTTGTATTTATGTTATATGTTTTTTAGATTACTGAATGATGACACACATCAAGTGTCGAAACGATTAATGGAATAAATAATTTTGTTATTTAATCTTATTTTAATTCGACGATCGGGCTGTAAAAATATTACAAATATGTATCAACGTCGACAAAACTATCACCATATATATATATATATATATATATATATATATATATATATATATATACTAGCAAACCCGACGAACTCCGTTTCGCCACCAAATGGTTTCGTGAGAAAGATGAAGAAATTTTTTGTTTGTTTTATATTTGAAAAGGAAAAATGTGACTTTATTATACAACAGTATTGAATTTATTTCGATTACAAAAATGAAGTGTTTTTTAGTTGAACTTCTCTAAGTAAATGAAACTGAATCCGCAAATTATCCGTTTCATTGAAGTGCTCTTTGGTAAACCACATTTTTTGTTTTTTGGTCTGACGTTAACACAAACAAAGCGGATGGTTTCCCAACTCGTGAACAGGCAACGTATAATTGCCCATGTGAAAAACAATGATTTTCTAAATAATCTATTTGAAATTCATCCCGCAAACACTAAGCGATTGGCCTTGCGACTTGTTATTGCGAACGCAAGACGAATTGGAAATTGCAAACGTTTGAAGTCAAACGGAAGACCAGTCGGAATCATTGGTATGTCACCATATCGCCAGCAATTTTTGATTGAATGGTGAAATTCAGTGCGTGTACATCATTATTCTTTGCGGCAAGAGTTGCTCGTTGACTTAACCAAGCATAATTCTGATAATTCTCACTAATGTCATTACTCAAATTTTTAATCACGGTGCGTTAAGCCACGATGCCAATTTGCATTAAGCCACGATGCCATGCACCACTAACAAACCTATAAACCTTGCGGAGCCCGAGACCTTTCTAAAGCCGGCCACAGACGTAACTGTATACTTGCGCAACTGAATGAATGCGCAACCAGGCGTATTTTCACAGCGCCCACAGACGGTTCAAGTTTATGTTCAAGTACTTGCGCAAGCATATCACAAATGTCAAATAATAAATGTCAAAACATAACCTAAAAATATATCTGTTTTGTTAATTTATGTATTTACAGCATCAGAAGAGAATTCAAAGTGTTCAGAGGGCTAATTTAATAACTTTTAATTGTCGATAACTTCATAAACTTGTATTATGAATTCGCTACAAAGTAAAATAAAAACGGGACATGTGCTGCCACACGCGGCCAGCGAATGAATTTGCCGACTTGAATGATTGCGCAATTAAAATAATGAAAAAGTGCTCATGCCTACTCGCTTGCACCAGTCTGTCAAGTTGCGCAAAAAACACTCCACAGACGCTACAGAATACATGCGCAAGTCGCAGGTTGCGCAAGTATACAGTTACGTCTGTGGCCGGCTTAACGAATGCAAAATCGTCGAAATCGGTTCGTGCGTTCTGGAGTTATTTCGTCAGGAAGGAAAACCCGACTTATTTTTATATATATATATAGAAGATATACACACACAATGTCGATTTTGGAAAATAACGGCTAAATTCTGTATCAAAAATCGCCGTCAGCGCCATCCAGAAAGCGCGTACTGCGCAGGTACTAACAAGACGTCAAATCGCCGAAGTATCCAGGATCGCTATCGGATTCCATTCGGAATCCAATATGTAATCCCGATCAAATCGAGGTCAAACCCAAAATTTATTTGTTATCAATTTCTTATCTGTCATAATGAGTTTGATAAACAAAATGCAGAAATTCATGTGGCATGGTGTGTGGTGTTTGCAATACGAAAGTATTGAATAATGACAATGATCTGTTATTATAGTTGTTTTGTAATTATTTATTTGTTTTTGCTAATATGTCAAAACGAGGCTTCGTTAGGTGACAGGTCGCCTTATTTTGGAAACTGCGTCAGGAAGTGTTTGGAAGAAAAATGTGTTGATTGTAAGATATATTATGTATACACACTTATATTTAATATACATAAGCCTTTTGTTGTCTAAGGCCAACAGGGAATTTATTTACACTTTGCTTTTTAGTTCAGTGTTCAACCTAACCTAAATTTACTATTTATGAAACTAGTCATAATTTAAAGTTCAATGTCATGTATATTCTATTACAATGATTCCTTAATGTTTTCAACTTCAATTAAAGATTGTAATGAAAGCTTTTCCTTAGATATTTTTTCTGCTCAATGTTCAATAGTTGTCACAGATATCATGCTTCGTACAATATTTGAATTTTGTAGTAGTGCTTAATGTATTATTGGCCATATTTAAAAGGCTAGATACAAGGGAATCTTGTTTTTATTAATACTATTAGGACTCAGTAATTGATTGTCCTGTTTTTTTATCAACCCATATAATTTATATAGTTTTTACATCCGATATTGTTTGATTTACCATTATTGTGCATTATTTTTCAGTACAATCTTTCAAAGATCCATCGGACACAAATGTATTAAACGATTTTGTACACTGGCACTGCAACGATGATTGTAGATATAATTGTATGTGGAAGACGGTGGAAAGCTTCAAGGAGCGAAAATGGTCCACACCACAATTCGATGGAAAGGTAAAGTACATAATTTCATTCAAATGTCACATGATCTGATGTATTAATTACTGCATTTATTTTATTTAATATTCATTTATATTATTTTTTTTTGCAGTGGCCATTCAAAAGAGTATTATGTTTTCAAGAATTCGCTTCAGTTTTATTTTCATTCACAAACTTTTATGCAGTCTACTATTTATACAGAAAGCTGAGGAAAAGATTGAACCGAACATATCCCATGTATTTT